AGTCGTTTGTTTCCCAAAATCGCACAGCTAATACATTTTCACATGCTTAAGCAAAAAACTTCTTCAAAGTTTGCATAAATTATGGGGTGTGCTTTAATTTAAACCCTCTTAGTTATGGTGAACTTCACAACTGAAACATATGAATATCTGACCTGAGTTTGAGAACTTGCTCCAGTTGCTGTCTTGGGTGGTGCGGATACAAAAGTTGAGTCTGCAAATGCTCCAGATGCTGCCTGGGGTGGTGCTGCTGACACAAAATCTGCATCTGCAAACAGATCAACGTCCGATGAACTGCTGTTCATAACAGGCTTTTCTTCAGGAACAGATGCTGGAACATCTACGAAGTCATCCATCAAATTTTGTCCAAATAGATCCACTTGGTTCGAGCTTGCAACAGCAGCCTCTGTTGAAAATAATATAGTACATACTGAAATGTTAAATTATATTCAATAAATCATTCATACTATTTTAAAAACAAGAAAATACAATAATACACGTTCAGTTAAATGTCAGTGCATAATAAATATGATAGAAGAAAAAGCAGGAAAATTTACACCTACCAATAGTATAGTGATATTCATATAAAGTGTATATGTTTGAACAAATAACGTAGAACTCAACAAAAGCTGTACTATGTTCCAAGGCACAACCAGCCTTCAAAAGATCAACACGTTTAACAAATGACACAATCTTGAAAAGCATCCTCAATGGCTTCAGTACATCAATTAATGGTATAGAATTATAAAGACAAATGGCATGGAATTGATTGCAGCTAAACAACATTTGCCGATGTCTTCCCCACAGGGCTTCCTTTTAGTTTTACACTAAACTACCAACTGCACCAGAGTTCATATGTACTTACTAGTAGTAGAAGTCCCTCGCGGATCAAAATCGTCATCGTCATCAGCAATACTTGCGCTTTGCGTGTGAATTGAACTGTATGTATCAGCTTCATTTGATTTATTTGATGACTTTGACTCACTAGATGATATATCATCCTGACCTCTCCTGCAAGATAAGCATTCTGAAATTAATTTAAATACGATCACATAGCAACAAAATTATTGGGACAATATATACATGCTTCAGTCTCTCCGTATACAGAGGGCAGGGTGTGTGTGCATCTGTGAGAGAGAGCTGCATACAAAATTAGCTATTAGTGATAGAAACCATCGTATTGCAGTTCTGAGTCTCAGAAGAACCTTTTTAAGTGTTATCCAAAGCCTCTCAGTCTAAAGGCACGTTAGTTTAAGGATTGCAGCCTATCACGAACAGTAAAAATCAAATACCTGCTTCGTGTTGAGCCCTTCTTTGAAGAGCTCTCTCGATTCTCACTTTTAGCCCCACGGTGAGACCTACTAGAGCTGAACTTCTCAGTCTTGTCTTCTTCATGTCTGTCTCTATAGCTATCCCTGAAACTATCGCCAGCAGTTCCTGTACCACCCAGACCTCCATAGCGGTCACTACTCTGAAAGCTGTTATTACTATACGAGGATGAAGTTGCTGAACCTGACTTATACGTTATCCCAGTAGATGAAAGTCCAAAGTACCTAAAGTTGGCAACGTGCTAATAGTTTATAAGATGAAATCCAATCCAAAGATTTCAGAGAAGTTGAAGCAAACTTGAAAACCTAGTCGCCTGAAAAATAAGCTTACTTGTCACGATTTGCAGCAGCTTTGTTTCTAACTTCTTGTATTTTATCTTTATTATTCAGAAGGGCCACTATGTTTTCCGCCTTCTTTCTCACATTTATTCCATTATCTTTCCCACTTGGCTCAACATATTCAAAGCTTGAGAGTGACTACACCAAAAAGGAAAAAACAAAAGAGAAATAGAATGTTTTGAGCATATTCAACCATATTCTCGACTTGATAGTTGATAAACACAAAAAAAAGTTCAGGCCAGAAAGAAATAGTCCTTACTGAGATTTGGAAAGTATGTTCTATAATGTCATCAACAGCACGTTCAGATCCATGTGACACCAAATATTCTATGACAGCCAATGCCTGATGCAGAAGTTGTTTCAGACATGAAAGGGATAAAAAGGCACATGACCCAATGACGCCAAAATATACTATGCGTAGATCTCTATAAGCATATATTTGCACAGTCCAACTGAATTCTTACCTTATAAACATGACGCCAGTCTTTTCCCGTCTCACATAGTCTTGTCCATAAAACACTCATAACCATCTGACATTCCGAACTAAAAGATAACAAGAATCAGCAAGTCCGTGTAAGTACATGGTCCTTCTAGATTCCGGAAATTGGCACCATAAAAAACGATTTTAACAAAAATCCTTAACAGTTCACTGCAGTTGAAACTCACAATTTTTTAGTGGCCTGTGCAATCTCTGCCAATGCAGAGCCATGAGGACCCCAAGGTTCACTATCTGTTGCATCCAATACCTACCGTATAACAGCAATGAAACAAATTCGGTAAACTAAAAGAAAATTCAAACCGGACATAGCCACTGATCATATCATCCAGAGTTCAGCCAGTTTAGCTATTAGATTCAAAGTATAGAGTCTAAAGATAATAGCTAATGCCAACCGACCGTGGGCGTTTCAAAATTTTAGAAACCTGTTGCAGTGACCTCTCAAAGCTAAAAGACCAAAGGCATAGCTACAATTTCAGCTCAAATGTATCTACAAGGATAAAATCTAAGGCTGCAATGCTACGATAACTATTGAGGACGAAATAACAAATTTTGGTGTTTGAATCCGCCATGAATACAACAATTCGAGTTCAGATCTATAATTTTTGTTACACAATAAGAAATTCCAATGAAAAAAGTAAAATTTCGCCGAATTAACAGTAAATTACCTTCTGCTCCATCTCCGGAACCTTCAAGACCTTCAGATTCACCTCCCTCTTTCTGCACATCAAGATTAAGCAAACAAAATGTCAATTAAATTACAATTGATATCAAATAAATCGAAAAAAAAAGGAGTAAAATCGCAACAAAAACTGACATTTCTCGGACCGTTTGATCGAAGACCTTCATGAAATCCATGACGAATCTGCAAAATTCGGAAATGCGAGATCAGATTGGAAGAAGCAAAATTGCGATTGAATCAGAGCGAATCGGAGAACTTGAAGTCAAATTTTTGGAGGAATGTAAGAAGATTAAGGACGAAATAAGAACGACCTTTGAGTAGAAAGTCGAAGAGAAAGGAACGGAAAGGATTTTCAGATCTTGGCGTGCGTCGCCAGAAGAGGGGGTGAGAGAGATAAACGGGGTGGTTGTTTTGCGGTTTTTAAATTGCATACAATTGACAGATAACAGGTAAAGCCAACGAGATCCCGCGATGATGTTTGTGTGAGTTTTACTTTTTCCTTGCCAAAATATACATAAAATACTAATTTGATTTTTAATACAACGTTCTAAAAAACGTTAGGTGTTAGTTGAGTGGAGGATTGGAATCTAGCGTTTAGGCGGACTTAAGTAAATATATTATATTTCGTGTAAATAAGTGTGTGTCTATACTTAAAATATATATAGTTTTATCATAAACTACAAAATAGAATTACATATACATTATGAAGTATTGGAACATAATAAAAACATATGGGAATAAGCATATAATGTGTGTACATTTAAGTATTCAACAAGTCTCTTACAATTTATTAAAAAAACAATAAAATGCAAAATGCAAGTTTTCTATTTTGTCTAATTGAGTTGCAACCGATGCGGGTTTAGACGGGTTAGGCAGATGCTTAAGTGGTTTAGGTGGGTGCCTCAACAAATCTAGGCACCCTTTCTTAATTTTCAAACGCCTAGTCATTCATCGAAGCAGTGACTAACTATCTAGCGCTTAGGTGGGGATTTTGAAAACAGTGTATATGCTAAAAAAAAATTTGACTGTATAATAAGTTAATCATAGTAAATTAGTAAAAAATTTGAATTTAAAACCCATCGCTTATAACCATCACAAGGTAACCCAATGATTAGAATGAATTTCAAGGCATATTCTACACGACACGTCTTGAGTTCAATTTCTATCACCTGTGAATCACATGATGGTTGGGGAGGCTGAAATGCTTGTGCATATCTTCCAACCTCCAAAAGAATAGATTGAAGTCACCAGCTAGTCCCTTTTAAAAGAAACCACCAATTATAGGTAAATATCAATATACTGAAAGACTTATGTATTTCTTATTTTTAAAGAGGATTTTATTTATGGTACAAACAATACAATCATAATCGTTTATTCTCTATTTCATCATATTTAAAGGCATTCATTTAGTATTGAAGACAATTTAATCATCTACATAAATCAAACAAATTGACAATTGATGTCACTTGGTATCATAATCGTTGGTTTATTCAATACATATAAATGACTAAACAGTCTCAAAATTAAAAGAAATTTCTAGAGATAGTCTACGGATAATGATAAAAAGAGTGAGCGATTCTGATTATAACATTTATACAACAAAACGATAATGACACATCATCATTGAAAAAGAAATGAACTTAGTATACGTAAAGAGTCAAACATTATCAATTTATTTTCATACTGATTTCTGTTTAAGTAAACACGACAACGTGCAAGAGAATCTAGAGATCATTTTTACGGTGTCATATTGGGTTTGGGAAACTTGAACAGTTAAATTAGCCAGTCGGCCCAAAGTATATTGGGCTTGGGTTTCTTTTAATACAGTCTTCAATCTAGGCCTTCGCGTGCCGGTTCATAACCTCTATTTACCAATAAACCGCCGGTCACATTACTTCGTCCAACAAACAAACGCAAGCATCCTATTCGTCCGTCACCACGAACTTCCTAACAGCCCGTTACGGAAATCTCCCTCCCTCATTTTCTCGTTAAGTAAAAAATTAACTACCATTTCCGGAATTCGGATTCTCTTGGATTTTCTTTGTGAAAATTTCGGTGATTCGTCAATCTTGCTCATTCATTGTATATCGTGTAATTAAAATTTATTTTTAATATTTTTATTTAAAATTAAACACTAAACAAAAATTAAACGCACGATATATAATAAACAAACATAATTTACAGATTTTTACAAAAGAATCCGGAAAGAATCCTGTTGGCCACTTCAGGTCATTTACCTTTACTCTTCACCAGTCCAACCTTCATCAGAAATCACCCAACTTCTTCCCTTCAACGCGGTTTTCAATATTGTCAGTCTTATTTTTTTCCTTTTAATTTTCAACTTTTAATTTTTATGAATTTAATTTTGATATGTTGACCGTTGTTTTATTGAATCAATATATATTTTCAAGTCTTTATGGGTCAAAAAAATTCGATTTGTTAGCAGGGTTTTTCAAAGTTGGTTGCTTTTTCTTGTTCTGGGAACCGATCGAAGCAAAAATGTTCAAGCGGGTGTTTGGGAAAGCTAAGCAGGAGGCCAATCCCCTGCCCACGATTCACAAATTAAACGATGTATGATTTTTTTTGGGGGGGGGGGGGGATTTTTTATTACTCGATTTTGTTGTTTTTTGCAGAAATTATGACAATGAATTGGGTTTTGTGATTGTAATTAACTGATAAGTGTTGGGTTTTTGGGATTTTGCAGACACTTGAGATGCTGGAGAAGAAGGAGAAAGTGCTTGTGAAGAAGGCAGCTCAAGAGGTTGAGAAAGCTAAACAATTCACTCAAGCAAAAAACCGAAATGGTAAGAAACCCGAACGGGCTACATTCAATTTTTTCGGTTATTCTTTGTTTCGTGTTGGACGATTTGAATGTTCTGTGAATTTGATACCGTATGTGGATATGAAGTATTGAATTTGAACAGAGTTTTTTTATATTTGTTGATTTTGATTAGCTTTTAAGAATGTGGGCAGGCTGTTGTATACAATTTTGTTTTCGTGTATCCATATTCGGTGGAGGGACATGTTAAAAGACTAGGGAGAACAAATTGTAGTCACTAATTACCTGCTTAGGTGAATTTTTCCGCGCATATCATGATAGCGGAGCATGATCGTGGGTAGATTCTGTTGAGTAAATTCTGTAGGTTGTAAAAGCAAATGAGTGGACTCGCGTGACCTAGACTTGTAGCGAGATTGTGAAACCTATTGTGTGGTAATTATTATTAACTCATATACCTTGTTGCTGTTTTTAATACAGCGGCGATAAAGTGTTTAAAAAGGAAGAGGCTTTACGAACAACAAATTGAACAGCTTGGGAATTTCCAATTGCGCATTCACGATCAGGTGCTTGTTGTGTTGTTTTAAACTCTAATGAAGTTTGATGTGTTGACTGTTTTTGTTGAAGACCTGTTTTGTGTTGGGGTTTTAGATGATAATGCTGGAAGGTGCAAACGCTACAACAGAAACTGTTGATGCATTGAGAAGTGGAACTGCTGTAATGAAGGCCATGAACAAGGCCACGTAAGTTGAACTTGAACTTCATTCTTTAGAAGTTATAGATTCCGTGGTCCATCATTTCCATAACTATAGCATCATTCTGTAAATACGTCTTAAATTACTTGTTTCACTTTCCGTTTATATTGGCTTGTTTTGAACATGTCTTTGGAGGTTCTTTCATATGAAGCATATCCTTTTGTTCTGTGTAGCGCATCTCACCTTTGGCCTGTTTTTCCTACAGGAAAATTGATGATTTGGAAAAAACAATGGATGAGATCAATGACCAAACTGAAAGCATGAAACAGATTCAGGATGCACTGTCAGCACCTATCGGTGCAGCAGCTGATTTCGATGAGGTATTGTCTTTGCAAGTTAGTAGTTCGTAGATTCAATGCTTCTTTTTTTTGTAAAATCAATAGTTCAAATTGCAATATTTATTCTCGCAGGATGAATTGGAGGCCGAGCTTGAAGAACTAGAAGGAGCTGAATTGGAGGAGGAGCTTCTCCAGCCAGCCACGAGTGCTCCTGCAGCTCCAGTATATGTAAATCCTGAAGCAGGCAGGCAACCAGCCCGACCAGCTCCTCAGAGAAATAACCGTGAGGAAGATGAGCTTGCTGCATTACAGGCAGAGATGGCACTTTAAGCGGTTATATATGTGTATCAGGTAGATCATTTGTCTTGATAATATAATCATAGCCCAACAGCCTCTACATGACTGTCACTGTCAACTATTGTTGTATTAGGGTAGTTGCACACCGCGGAGATCATATCATTCAAAGCACAAGCATATCATTTTAGAAAAAGTCGTTATGCTGAAAGCGCTATACATGCATGTTATGACAATTGAGAAAGACTTTGAAAGGCACGAGTCCAAACATTTGGTTAACTATACGGATTGTTTGTTTGTTTGATCATTTCATGTGCTGCAATTTGAGTAAGAGTTGTGTTTCTGCAAGCAGTTGACGATCCGCCTTTCGTTATGTTAATTCCATTCATTTTGACGGGTTTCATCTCTCTGCGTGCAGTAGTAACATGTAGCGGGAGACGTTTAATAAACTATGGAGGATGGTGCGAATCTCTCGGACTCTCCAGGCTGACCAGTAGACCTTTTTACCGCATTTGATGATTGTGAGGACACTGTATATATAATTTTAAGCAGATAACAGTGTGTACTTTGTAATTTACTCGAATTGTAAAACTATACCGGGAACCTTTTGCCCTCCGATCCCGGTTCAGTGACTAAAAAACCAGATGGGAATACGACGTTATCTCTTAGTGATACAATTATGTATGTCCTTTTATATCAATGTCAATGTTTTTGTTTTCGTCCATGTCAATATCAATGTTAAAATCCATGCATATTTAAAGGTGTAAACGTCGTCGCATGGACGGGGCTACATGCATGCAAAATATGCAAGGTCATATTGAAGGATTCAATGACAGAGAACAAAGAACTTTCGGTATTGTATGGTACTGGAACACAATCACGTGTTATATATAATTATATAATATGAAATAAACGACGGGTTTATACTTTGAGAGATGTTATTAGCACCCAATAATTATCATTTATGCACTCTAGCTTTATAAAAACACTAGGGAAAATCTGCATAGAAGACTACGTAGATGCTGACATTTTTTGAGTGCCGTAGCAGCTCCTTATACTTACTTTCCTTTTGGATGAGGGAAATTGATGCAGACAAAGTAGCACTTACATGAAGTATTGTGATAAGATTCATGCACGAGGAAGTCCAAGTAGTGCATTGGAAAATAATTTTAGCTTTAATAATATTCTATGTACTAGGATTATCTAGGAAGTCCATGTAGTGCAGTGTATTGGGATTAATTGGGTTCACGCATAACATTAATGTGGGTGATGAGTTCAATGTATGGAATGGTGGATAAAGTCTATAAATCACTGTAAGCCTAAATCTCTTATGTTCTATCAACTAGGGTATTACGTAAGAATCAACGATATTCCTTTGTTCTTGGCTATTCTTATCTCTGAGAGTCGACAAGACTTAAGGGTTTATTGTGTTCTAGAGTTTGTTCTCTTTTTCTTATATTATATGCTGCATCGGAAATAAACTTGGAATTTGGACAAAATTTGAAATTTATAAGTTGACATCAACTCTATGTTTGGATTCATAAACATAAAAATTTAGAATTTATGTGTTTAAAAAAATAAAAAAAATAAAAAAATAAAAATGGAATTCAAGACTTCCATTTCTCAAGCTTAAATTTCATGTAAATAGTTATCATTTTCAAATTTTTACGAGAGTTTAAAATCAATTACAAAAGAAACTCATCCTTAAGTGGTCACCATTGCCACTCCCACCACAGTTGCTATCACCGCCACCACTCACCATCATCAGCACTTTCGCCACCGCCGCTGCTACCACCACGCACCCTCACCACCAATACCTCCACCTACTAAATCCACAAGTTATAAATTATTTATGTATATGACCAATAAAGAACTTGGGTTTGCAAATACATTGTATCATAAAGCATGAAATTGGTGTGAACAATGCTTGCAATTGACAAAATTCTCCTACTTAATAGAACAAAACATTAAAAGTGGAGGACTATCAACCCATCAGTCCATCATCATATGATTATATACAAGAAAAAACAAGGAACTTGTATGTATAGTTTTGTTCAAATATTTTACTAATTCAGATTTTAACTTTTAGACATACAACAAAAGTTGTCCATGTTGCTAATGGCATCTATAACATTATCTTTTTTTTCTTTGACTTGAGATCACTCTGTCTGGCATAAACTAGAATTTTGAAAGGGACGGATCTAACTCATTGATTCCTGCTTAAAAAATAGTAATTTTAGTGTTTTTATTCTTTGAATTTGGATCCACTTCAGACCTTACTGTCAAGAATCTAAAGACTAAAAAATTCGGATCGTTCAAAAAAAAGAAAGAAAATTCAGGCCCTTAGTTTGTGTAAAGTAGGCCAACAAAATGAGTTAATAAGGACTGTCGAATTCAATTTAAGTGGTCTGAATTTTCTACTTCTTGAGCACTGAACAATGAGATTTGGAGAGGATCCATCTTAAGTAGATAAGATTAAAGACATGATTCTTCACTTGATTTATATCTTAAACAAGAAATGGAGAACAAGGTTGCTTTTCCCTATTTCCAATTGCATTTGCTCCAGTGTGAAAACGACGAGAAAAACTCTCTTGTCACGTGAATATGTTATTTCTCTCTTTTCTCATTCGTCAAAGTCATTACTTAGAAGATGAGCGAGAAAGATAAAAATGGGATATATCTCCAAAATAGTAAGTATTATTTCTCGAAAACGAGGGGCACTTCACCAGAGGAATATTCATGCAGACAAAATGCCACCAAGAAGCAGATAAACAACATTCATTATGTTGCAATTTTTAGAGTTGAATGTGAAAACATGAGAGAGGCAGATAGAAAACAAAACTTTAAGCCCAATTTTTCTAAACCGTTCTTTTATTGGAATATAACCCTAATTATGAAACTTAAACACCAGATTAAAGCTTTAGCTTAGCTTTGGTATTTGTCAAATAAACCCTAATTAGGGCATCTCACGTAAATGGAGCATAGGTAATATCAAATAGTTTAACGTCAATTTTCATGCAAACATGATAAATATTATGCAAAAAATATGAAGTGACAGAGAGTTCATGAAACGTTCAATTTTTTAGAAAATCTCCTTAGCATTTCTAATTAATCTCATATTTTAAGATGATGACTAACAAACAACAATGTTTTATAAAATTATGGTTTCGAAAACACTGATGACTAACTAAATATAATGATGTTAATAATTGAAGTGATTAGTGAGGCCTAAACAATGGCTTAGCCTTAACACGAAAAAGTCTTCACAGATAAATTGGAGTGGAAATTTTAAAATAATTATGTCCTTTCGATTCTTGAATGGTCAGACTTCAGAGTACTTGACCGTACAATTAACAATTCTAATATTACAAGGGAAAGAGATCCATTTTGAATTTCATTCAGAGCTCGAGACCAGGTAACCTAAACTACTCAAATTGAATTCAACGGTTCTCATTAACATTTTACTTGCCACTCAAACTAAGAGTTCTAATTTCTCTTTCATACAAATCAAGAGTGCAAATTTTCTAGTCCTTATGCTTCAAAAACTAAGATCAGGAGAAGATTCAAATTTCAATTTCAATGTAAGGTAATATATTAATTTGAATCACAGCTTTCAAACCGTGACATTTGACCTTCAGCAGCACACAGCAATCTGCATGACTAATTAAAACCCTACAATATTACGTTACTGCATGCTGTGAGTCTTGTGACAAATATGTTACACAATGTGTTCATATTGCTGCTTGAGAGTGAAATTCCAGCACTCAATCGCGTCACATCTCCGGCTCTTTTCAGTGTCTCTTGTAATCTAATCCAGTTATAAAGAGAGAGATAGATCCTCGACGACAGTAAAAAATCTCCATATCCTCAACTGTCAAAGGGTTACAAGACTGGCAAGGTTCGGTTTGAATTGATTGTTTCTCGAGTTTGTTTTTTGCTCTGTATTCGTACTGGTTTAGTACTGAGGTGCTTTTATAAAAAGTGGGTATCAAAAAAAGCTGAGCTCAAAAAAGTGTTTGGTAAACACTTAAAAAAAACTTATTTTCACAGTTTTGGGTAAAAAAAGTTAAAAACGTGAAGCAGCAAAATTGAGCTTATTCTCACAGTACAACAGAAACAATTTTTTTTTAAAGCACAACAATACCAAACCAGTTCGTAGGATGAAAGGTGAAAACCGTGCAATATCCGAGAATCGAAGAGTGATTTTTTTCTTTCTTGACAATATTTCTTTACCTTTTTTTGAAATAACTCCTTGACCATATATAACCTTTGATTTTTACCACTTCAAAGTCCCAAACTTGCAAACATGATGTACTCTTATGACCGTAAAAATCAATACAGCTAGGGCAGAGTATCTTTTATGGTTATTGTGTTGAGAGGGATATGAACTTTGAATTGGCCAGACTCCCACACAACTTTCATGACCTCTGACCTACAAAGGAAACAGGCAAACTTGATGAGGCCATCATGTTGAGAAACTTCTCAGAACCCAACGATGGCAAATTTGAGAAAGTTGAAACCTTCAACACACACACACAAACACAAACACGCAGAATTCCAATCACGTGATGTGAGAGATACACAGATGACGTGACAATGGTAGATAGAGAGAATGGAAGACTAATGCATATTGTTCATAAGCTAGTCATGGACAAATTTGATTAACATTATATGTTTCCATAAAAACTAGAACAAGTGAAAGACAGAAAATTAAAGCATTTCTAGCTAGCTAGTTAGCGATTTTTCTTCCCCAATTCCTATCCGAATTCTCTGCTTTTTGCTTCTGTTTTCTCTAACCCAATTCATTTCTTCCCAATTTGTTACAAACCCTTTTGACTCAGATCAATCCTGTAAGTTTCAGCTTCAAAAGAAATCACCCAAATCTGTGCATCCAGTTGGACCAACTTCACTGGTTTTGTCTCCAAAACACATGCCATAATGGTTGACATTATTATCATAAGCCACACCAAATCCATAATCCATCAAAAACCCATAATCCTGATCAAGATAACGATTCCCAGCTATGGAAGATGAATCCGAAACGCTTGATCCCTCCTGAGACAATGAAACAGTAGTGCTGTAACTCCCCCTTGACATTGCACCGAAATCCAAAAAACCCGAGAGCTTGGGGTTATATAACTGATCAGGGTTTAAGCTCATGGTCTGGTTATCTGCACTCAGTCCAGAATTCACATCATATAGCATCTGCAATGTGGATGGAACTTGGGGTTGGGAAGTCGAAAAGGCAGAGTCTTGGGGTTTCTCGGCTTCTGGGATTCCAGAAAAATTGGCATTGTTTGCAATTGTGGGCTCTTTGCTGCTGATATTCTTTATCTTTCCTCCCAAAAGCTTCTTCTTTAATTTGGTGTTCCAGTAGTTCTTCACATCATTGTCTGTTCTTCCAGGCATGTAAGAAGCAATGACTGACCATCTTAAAAAATTGGGGGAATTTAAAAAATGCAAATAAGTTAGAAAATACTGATCAAATTAAAAGTTGCGGATAATAAATTAAGATATTTAAAAAAATAAAAATAAAAATAAAAAACATTGAAAACTTGCCGGCTTCCCATCTGGTTGTAGAGGTTGCATATAATGCTGTCCTCCTCCTCAGTGAAGCCACCGTGTTTGATGTCTGGCCTCAGATAGTTCAGCCACCGCAGACGGCAGCTCTTCCCGCACCGCCTCAGGCCTACATACGGTACAAAAACTAATAAAGTTCAGAACTTTTTACAGAGAAAGCAAAAGCTGCAAATCCCTTTTCTCATTTCTCCACAGTTTTCATTCTTTGAGCTCAAAAGATGGATTTAGAGAGAGAGACCAGCTTTTTTGGGGAGATGAATCCAATTGCTGGCGGTGCCATCACTGCCATGAGACTGGAGGTAGGACTTGAGAGCTGCGTCTTCTTCCGGAGACCACGGACCTCTCTTCACGTTCTCTTTGTCACAGCATGGAGTGCGTCCCATGGTTACTTATTGTGCTCCCTCACTTACTCCCCAAGAACCAACCAGAAGGGACAGAGACGACAGAGGAAAAAAATCAGACACGCAAAATGCAATGGGTTTTGGTGGAGGAGGGGGTTCATAAATATGGTGGCACCTTGAACTAATTAAATAAATAAAAGGCTTGCCTTCTGTACGGATATCCATATTTTTCAATTTTAATTGTAATATTTTATGTATGATTCTTGTTTCTTGCTCGCGAAGAGACATGACCAGTCAAACGGATGTGTATTTGACTTTGTTTTTTTTCAATTATGGAGATGAATTACCGTTCAAACTTTGGTGTTACGATGTATTTTCTTTTATTTATAAGTGAGAGATTTAAAGTTCTAATCAAAGTATAATACGCGTATTAGTTATTAATCTTACACCCTAGTGACATATTGGTTAGGACACCATAAATACGATATTCGTTCCAAATTGAAGGTCCAAATGTCCTATAATTTGGTCGAATTTTATTAGTTTAATTTTACTAACATTTTAAAAATCTAATTATGCATTCTGAATTTTTTATATTTAAAAAAAAATACTCATATAAAAAATACATAATTAAAATTTTAAAATACCAACAATAAATCTCCTATTTATTAACTGCATGTGTTCTAAGCTATCGTCACAACACATGGACGTAGTCAGCAGGGACAGGCAGCCAAAGAGGAACAAAACCCCACTCTCTGATTTGCTCCACTTACAAAGTTATTATTTATTAGTCGTAAAATGTGCAATGCTTAACAACATGTTTTCCAAATGATGTTTTACTGTAGTGATAAAAAGTAATTATGTATATTTATTCTAGTGTAAATTTCATTACCATCAATTCCCCACCACCTAATAGTTAACAATTTAACCCACTTAACTTTGCAATAATCAAATGACAAGAAATTGGTGGCTAATTAGTAAGAATAAATGGTAAATTGGAACTCAGATTAAGACAGTCAGCTTTAGCTCTTGCTGATATATATAACAAGAAAAACTAACGAAAAATCTAAAAAAACTTCCCTTTTAATGAAAATCCCTTTTTAAATGTATAGTAAATAGTACCAGGAAAATGTATAAATATGGTTTTTGGTTGAAAGTAAACAGTATCGGTAGTGTTTTGTTAAACCTCCTTATATAATATTGTTGAGTCTTTATATATAAGAAGTAGATTACTGTTGATGTGACATTATTGTATTACATAAACATTATAATCATAATTGTTCATTCTCTTTATTCTTATCCAAAGATCAATTTTAGAAGAATTCATTTAATTTAAAAACAGTTTAGTTATTCATATTAATCAAACAATTTCACTATTTAGTCATGTATGTGAATCAAATCAAATGAACTTTTTAAAGTGGGGGTTTGTACAATTGACTTTTTCTCTCATTCCGTGAGAGAGCTTTTCTCTGCTTGAGAGTTCTTCCTCGCTTTTGATGTAAGGGTTCCGATCTTACTCAAAATCAATAGCGTCAACTCTAGCTTTGGCTAGGATCGGTTGCCAATTTCCTCTTTCTTTTCTTTTATCCTTTTTTCCCCTTTTCTGCTATTTTTCTCTCTCCTCCTCGTATTGATTTGCCCTTGTATTCTTACATTGTTGACATTCCTTTTCTTCCTTCATCCGAGTTTTGATCTTTAGCCATACCTGCCTTGGAGATGGTGCGTAGAGTTTTGGTGCTTCGACCAACTCGAGTGTTACCTTTTCTCTGTCGTCTGCCGTGCCTGGCAATGTTGCTCATGGTGTTTCATGGGTTTTTTTTTCTTGATAGTTGCCTAATTTCCTTTAGTTGTTTGTTATCTTTACTTTCTGGCTATGATCGGAAAGCAGATTGGGATTGGATGATGAGATTGGCGAGGCGATGTTTGGAGGTGGGCATGGCTTTGTGCACGTCTAGAGCACAGTACTGGAGGAGACGATTGCAGCGGACTTCTTGTCTTTTTTGTTTTTTCTGTTTTTGGGCCTCAGTTATTTGGTTGGCCTCTTGTTAGTTTGGTGTTTGGCCCATCTTTGCTTGTTTATATTATGGGCCTTTCGTATGTAAATATGTTTTTTTTTTTGTTAATAATAATTTCCTTGGCCCATAAAAAAAAGTAGGAGTAAAAGTAATTTTACCATTCAAAGTAACCAACGAAGGCAAACTTTGATGGCTTGGACCAACTTACATTTTAACAATTACAACAAGGTAGCAAAAATATGTGAAACATGGAGAAATTTTTTAACATGGCTTGGTACATCAAGTGTAATAATAAAACTATAAAATTGGTTAGAGATTTTATTTAATTTCCTGCTAATTATATTATTACACTTGGTATCGGATCGTGTTCTAGGCACATTAAAAAATCCCAACGAAAACTGGACGGTGGTGGCTGCTTTTTGCTCTCTCTCCTTTTGACTTTGTATTTTGTTATCTTCTCTGATTTCAGTCTTAGATTCCTTGTCACGGACTCAAGTGGTTTCATGTTTATTTTGCTTATTTGGTAGCTCTACAAACTGTCTACATGCAACCAGATAACTTTGAGGTGTTTTTTGGTATACTACCAAGTTATATTTATGTTCGTACGTGTGTATTTATTTCTTTCCTCTTACGCTTCGCATGCTTGAGCAACTCTAAAGCTAGTATATACGAGACTGAGAAGAAATAAGGCAAATTCCAATCCACAACTCAAGTGACAATTAAATCAAGAATCGTCGTAGTGTCACGTAGAAGTCAACCGGTTGATGTCTAGATCTAAAGTTCAATGAACGGTTGTTCTACATAAACGAACTCCACAAACATTGTGAGAGCTGGCTCTTTTAGAGTTGAGTGAGAGTCGAACCTGGACAACGTGGTCTGCTATTGCAGCTCTTCTGCGTTGCCAAACGTAGCCTTGGGTCAAGATAGGAGAATTTGGAAATCTTATTGGATTCACAGGGTCCGATCCATCCATCCATCACCGCACATGGAGCGGACGATCTCGCAGTTCTTGGTCAGTGAAGATATTTGATAACCCGACGGCCCAATTCTCTTTGGGGCCCAGGATCTGCAGAAACCACTGTGATCTAAATATAGTTGACTTGGGGTGGGCTATAGATGTATCCGTGTGTATGCTTAGCCCAATGAAGAAAGCATTTGATATTCGTGTGCACCGAAGTCCTATCAGGAGATTCTTCAATGTCAGTAATTTTCAAGAGAAGAGAGAGAAGATTAACGTAATAGCTCACTGTATAAAGATCACTTCTACAAAGAATCAGTAACATATGAGATTGTTTAGCCATCGAACTATATAAAAACAAATTCGGTAAATGGATTACAAACCGCTTATTTATTTGTTATAATTGTTTGACTAAATAACCATAGTTTTATTTGATTCTTTGTAGAGACTTATCTTTAGAGTAATATAAATAAACTATGACGATCACAAATACGAAGTTCTGTAAATCGGCCGGTAAGTGAATTGTGGAGCTCCTCAATCTTGAGGAGCGAAGTCTTTCTCGTCCCATACAATATGACAGTGAAACAATCAAAGGAATGTCGCTTTTTATGCAGACTTGTATATCTATATTTTGGTTAGGCGATCAATGTCATGGTATCAACCAGCCATAGGACAAGAGTTTAATTCAGATTGTCCCCACATGAGAGAAAAATTGAATTTTCATATACCTATATATATATATATATTTTTTGAACACTTAGTATTATTATCAAGTGATATTTCTCTTTATTTGTAACTTGTAAGTAAGATATTTTAGGTTTGATTCTTTTCAATACTATGGCTAACACATAGTGTAGTTTAGCCTAATTCTCTACCCCATAGTGTAAATATTTCATATTCAAAAAAATAAAAATAAAAATAAAATTAAAAGGTTTGTCTTCGTTCCATGATATTTCACACGCTTCTCCCTCTTAGATTGGTGTATTAGAGACCCTGATGCTAGTAAAATTGGTTAAAAAGTATGAACGATCGATAACCGTTGATTAGTGTGAATTCCACCATAATTTTCTTGCCAGTGAATAATTGAAAATCATATTAAATGAATACACAAAAGTTGAATATGTGTAGTAAGTGCCAACATGAACTATATGCACCTTCCTCCACATCCAAATCAATGGAGTTTGCATAATTCCATTCGTAACAAGTACAACTAAATGGAATTAAAAAAAATAAAAATAGTTTAAAAACTTTGAGTTTTAATTATAAGGACAAAATAAAGGGTCAAGTGAATAATACCAGGATTGACTTTTTAGTGTAAAAATATGATTTTTCGTTAAAGTGAACAATACCATAAATTTTTTTTTGAAATTCCCTTTAAAAAATGGAATAGTAATGTAAAAATTAAGAAGATAATGCTGAAAATTTGAACCTAAGTTACACCTACTCCTATGCTTAGCTAGAAGATAATAGTAAATCCATCAAGATGATGTTTACATTATTTTTCCAAACACAACTTCCATTAATTTATATTTTTTTGTGACTTCGCAAACAAACTTAATAGCTAATCATGACGAATTTAATTCACACAACCCATCATTTTTATATAAGATAAAAACAGATATGGATAACCATATATTTATATGTAGATAAGCAAAGCTTTTTATCTTAGGGGATCTTCATATGTCAAAAGAAAAAAAAAAGTTGTGGGCCCATTAAACATTACACTTTAACGATTTAAACTATCTATCTTTTAAGTTTTCATATGGATTGTCATTGCAAAAAATTAGTTCAATTCTAAACATTTTTTTTTTAATAAACGATGTTATCCACATTAAGCTAGAGGGAGTGGGTTTAGCCTCATAATGAACTAACAATAAAGTGATTCAATTTTGCCTTTGACGAGAATCGAACCTAAGATCTCTCACTTACAAATGATTAATTAATCCAAAACTATTTACTCATATGATTGGTGTGATGAAATTTCAGTGTTCATAAAACATTGTGTTCAGCAATTACTTTGAACTTTTTTGCTAATATTTTGTAAGGATAATCTATAAAGTTTAAATTGAAAAATAAATAGTTTGGATCGTTGAAGTTCGATGTATAATGGACATCACAATTAGTTCCCATTTAAAAAATAAATAAAAAATTAGAGATCCTTTGGATGTAGATA